TTCTCGTCAGAGTTCAAATAAAATGGCCAAGGAGCAGAGCATGTCGAATATGCAAAAGCTTGCGAATGCCGAATACTTTAAAGATGGCGGTGGTCCTCTTTTTCCCGGTCCGTTGACACCCGCAATCGAGATTTGCCCAATTATTAAATAATAGCCAAAAGAAACTAACATGTAGATACTCTCTCAGGCACATTCGTCTCCCTTCCGCTATCACAGTACCCCAAATCTCCCTCCGAACTCCTCCAATACCAAGTCGCCCGCATGAAGCACTGGCTCATCTGCGCGACCTCAGTCCTCAACTTCAAGCTCAAGTCGATGCCCAACTGGACGACGCGGCCGAAATGGAAAGCCCGCCGGGGCAAGATTGCACCCACAGCCAAAGCCATGTACCGCGAGATGCTCGAGGCCTTTGCCGCCGGCGACAAGGTCACCCTCAACAAGATTTGCCTCGGGGAGTTCGCCAAGAAGCTCAGCGCGGCCATTGACCGCCGTGACCCCAAGGAGCGCGTGCGTTTCGAGGTTGTCAAGTACAACAAGGGCCTGTTTTATCCCAGGCTGATGTCTCATCAGATCCACGAGGTGAATCCCTTTGACAAGACCATGGTTACCGAGCAGGCGGTCGTGGCGATTGCGTCGACGCAGCAGGCGTCCAAGATGAGCGCTGTCACGGGCGAGACGGTCCCGGGAAGCCTGAAGCTGCAGGATAAGATTGAGTACGTCGTGCTGTCGAGGCAGGCGAACCAGAAGACTTTTGAGACGACGCCCTGGCGCATATGGGGGACCACTTCGGTAACGACGTTGGACGCCTACCTGCGGGAGAAGGCTGTTATAGACAAGGAGCAGGCCAGGCGGGCGGGGTGGACGGATTCGGCTCCCAAGTAAATTTAGAAGGACTGGGGTGAGAAATTCTTGGGAAAGCGCATGGGATGGCATTATGCGGGGAGGTGGTGGTGGAAAATGTGAATTAAACGTGGACTTTGTCACGATCTTTTTGTACCTGTACCATACCATCTTGCATTGGGAGCGAAAATGGACAAGTTGCGGGTTGGACACGTTATATGTTTCTCACATCCAGCATTTGTATTATTGGTATCATACTATACTATACTCACATCTATAGTCTAATCTCTCCATCATGCTGAACCATGTCAGGCTAGTACCTGACTGTGCTGTGCACGCCAACCAAATGCTCCCTCATGTCCTTGACCACGGCGATGATGACGACGAGCGCTACGCTCAACAAATGGACCACGTCCCTCCCACGCCGAGTCTTTGCAGATTGCTAAGCCCTAAAAGAACTTGCCAGCCTTGGAGGAGGCAATTACAACTTCATCCGGCATTTCGGAGTCGCTAACCGTACGGGTCATAAGGGGTCGATCAAGCGCATCAAAGCGCTCACGGCGGAGCCTGGCCTTGATATATTGGAATGACAAGCGAAGGGCGAGAGCCCCAAAGCCCCAAACAATACCTCCAACAGGGGCTGCGACAAATGCACCAAATGCGCTCCAATCATTGGCATACAGGCCATTCTGAATGAGCAGTAATTGGGCGCCTTGTTCGGCATCCTTGTAGTAAATAGCGCCAAATATGAAGACGGTCAAAATGCCACCCAAGCCACCGACGACGACTTCAAAGCCGCGCCACCAGTAGAGGCGGTCGCTGAGACCAAGGCACAAGACGGGAATGGTAGCAGCGGAGAGCAGATCGCTGATGAGGTAGATCTGCAGGATGGATGATGCGCGGAGAGCAACCACCACGACAGGGATAATGATAAGCACAACCATGCCGCGGATGTACCAGATATTCAGGCGGTTGCGGAACAAGTCGTTGGAGGCGGAAGAAACCATGGCTGACTGCAGACTATCAAAGGCAGCTGTGCTGAGGGAGACAACCATGACGAGAATAATGCCGACAACCCAGCTAGGTAGCTGCTGAAGAAGCAAAAAAAAGGCCAATGAGCCCTCCTGCTCTGGTTCGCCTGGCCACGCGCCAGACCAAGCCGCAATCAAGCCAGAACAGCCGACAAGAGTGAGGATGCACAGGATGACCACCATGGCAACTGAGACGCCAACCCAAAGATCCTTGTCGGATTTGGAAGAAAATGTTCGCAGCCAAAAATTGGACAGAAAGAAGTCGTTGGTGAGAACGGCAACGGGCAGGATGTACAGGAGCTGCCAACCAAGAAGGCTTGGCTCTAAGAGGTGCGACGAGTCTATGAGCTCACGTTTGATTTCCGTCTTGGCACCAACGGTGATGGTGGCAATGATGATGAGGCCAACGACCATGCCGCCTTGGACGACGTCTGTGAGGAAAGAAATTTTGAAACCACCCAAAGCTGTCACCATTGTTAGCATTCAATGCTATTCAAAATAGGACCAGGGGAGGGAGGTTGTCTAACAGGTATAAATGGTAGTGATGACGCATTCAACGATGATAACGGGAAGACTATCAATCCCGGTCAATGTGCTCACGACTTGACCAAGAGCAGACAACTCTGCCACCATGTACAGGAACAATGTCACCAGGGTCATGAAGCTGAGGTACAACATGGCAACTGTCCCGTAGCGTTGTCGTGTCCACTCTGTCAAGACGAAACCTTCAGGACACTTGCGGCGGATAATGGGTCCAAGGGCTCCAAAAATGAGCATAGGCAACGCCGATGCCAGGGCGTAAATGATGACTCCCTGGACACCGGTGATGGTTGCGAGCTCGGGGTAGGAGAAGAGGATACCGGCTCCGAGGGCTGCACATGTCAGCACGACACAAACGAAATTTTGACTAGACACAAAGTAAGAAGGGGGTTGGAGCGGCAACACATTTCCCACGCAAGCATTATCTTGATCGAGTAATTACGGTGCAATCTCAGCTTCAGATCCACAGGGTGCAAGATCTCTCCTGGAATAGTGTTGCCCAAGAGTTGGATCCCACATCTTGCTTCAAATCAGCGCCCGTAGTGAGCCGCATCCTCTCCCCTCTTGCGACAAGAGTGTTGATGCTTTTTCTCCTCACACTGCTTGGAAACTGATTTCTATGCAGGGGAGGCGAGACTGATGCCAGGGACGGCGACCAGTAGGTTTGCACTAGATCATCAGAAGCACCGGAGAAGAAGCTCTCATAACCTCGTCGTCAAGAGAGGAGAAGAATAAGATCAGGGAATAAACCTACTCATCTAAGTTGACTCTGCTATTGTTCCGTATAGTCGTGTATACGTGACCAAACCCTTTGCCAAAGGGTTCGCATGGGTGCTGAATTGAATTTGCTGGCCCAAAAGGCTACCGCTCCGGAAACATGATGATGTAGCTGAACCGTAACGGCTCTACTCACCGGAGGCGATAAAGTTGAGAGCAAGAGGGAAGGCTAAAGAGAGAATGAGTTAGCTGAGCCCGCGGTCTTTTATCCCACCCATTTCTTGAAGTTATTTCGAGTTGTTGCACGCATGTCCTCCACATTGCTCACCACTTTGTGTTCCATTGCTGCTCAGGAAATCCTGTTTGGACTGATTTCTCATCGTCCAAGCGATTCCTGTTCCCAGGACCCTGTGCGACATTGGTTAGCGTTAGCCATGTGTGGTGATGTGAGATAAGGGTCGTAACGTACAAAAATGCTCCATAAGTCAGGTAGATGATGGCATTAGACGCCGGAAAGGACGGTTGACCCATGATGCTGCTTTTTGATGGCGCTTCTCGGATCCGATTAATGGATTATCGGAGGGAGAGGAGTGCAAGAGGGGAAATAACTGGAATCTGCGATTCTTCGGCCTTGTAAGCACGCTGCTCACCTGATCAAATCCAGGGGACGAAAAAAAAACAAGAAAATTCTTCAGTACTAGATTGCGATGTCTCCAAGCTGAGAAAAAAAAACGTCGCATCTCTTGGCTCATCTGATAGTGGTTGGTGGCACCAGCGCCTAAAACGGTTTAGAATTGGCGTTCTGCGGTGGGGGGCTCGCTTCCGATGGTGGATCGGCTGGGCCTGAAGCATAAAGTAGCTGGTGGAATTACTAACTACCTACTCCGTAGGTAGTACTAGTATGTAGTATTATTGGATTCATGATGGGTACTTGGTGCCAGTAACTCTGGTAGTGCATGCATGATGGATGTGTCAATGCCAATATTTGAAGGCAGGTGTATTTGGTGTTGACAGATGCATATGCCGACTATTGCATGAAGTACCAGTAGCAACGATGATGATGAGACCAACCCAGCACAGTTGCATTGATGCCTGCATGTTGTCAATCAATTGATGCCCTACAGCGCTTGAAGTGCTGTAATCATCGTCCGTTGGCGCTCCCAATTGCTCCCGGGTGCCAACAGAGGATGGGTTTGACATGATTCAACAGGGGTCGCATAAGGTCCCCCCAAGTGATAGTTTGCACCTTGGCGGCTCCATTCCCCGCGTCTCGCCCTCTTCCGTAGCAGCTCCCTTCGAATTCCCCTCGAGTTGAAGTTTCATCAAGTAATACCGGGCCCTTGGTGTTGTGAACAAAACTCTACACTACAGGTCGCAAATTTCCTGGCCCTATTAGCCAACCTAATTTCTAGATTACAGGATTCCAATCCCTTGCGCCGTTGGCAGAATGGACTATCCTATCTCTAGTCACGATTTCCTGAAATACTCAAACAAGCGTCTCCTAACCGCTCTCACCTCCGGTAATGTAGCCGCGACTCTAGCCCCGTATTCTCCAGACGTTTGTCCATGTAAAGAACTTGACTTCCAAATCACAACGAAACTGAAAAAAAAAAAAAAAGCCTTGATTTGAATAATTCCAGAAAAGTGCACGGCCGAGAATTCCCAACCACCGGGTAGCCCATCGGCAAGGAAGTTCCTCTTTGTGACTTCTGTCAAGGGAAACCGTGTAAAAAAAGAAAGAATAGAAAACTAGGAAATGTCTCAGCGGCTGAATACTCTTTGCAATAAAGCATCTTAGCGTGTTGTTTGTGTCCACGCCACGCTTGCCGTTGCCGGTCTGCGTCGATTTTTAGCCATCATGATGAATGACTTTTACTGGGAAGAGTTTTGTTCATTGGACCCTCGGCCATGTCCCTTGTGGTGATCCGAACCACGAAATTGTCCCGTAGGAGTTGGAGGAGGAGCCATCATAGGAGGCGTTGGCATCATCATGTTATTATAAAACATCGGGTGAGCAGGATATTGAGGGGTCATATATGATGGCACTATACCTTCATTCCCTGACTGATGAGGAGTGAATGGTCCCGCCATGTACTGATAACCTTGTGGAAACGGCTGATAGAATGGCGTCCAACCAAAAGAGGGCGGCATCATAACACCTGGCGAGATCGGGTGTTGGTGGGCTGGAACAGTGTTGACAGCTGCCTGAGCGCCGGAATCATTGTCCGAAATGACCGGGCCTGCCACGTGCTGATCGCCGTTTGCCGTAGTGATTGTGGGAGTGGCCGGGCAATTTCCGGAGCGATTTTCGTTGGGTAGTTCGAACTCAACGGACTTCTTAGTTGGAGATTCGGAAGCTCCAACTCTACGTTGGCGTCCGCTGAGCTGAACATCTTGAGCTGTATCATTAACCTTTGCCGGAGCTTGCTCAAGATTGAGCGAGGACATGGCTTTGCCAACAGACGTGTCACTATTGAAGATGGTCTGGCGCGGGCGTCTCTGCCCATAAGAAAATGACTTGTTGTAGGCTGTGGAGCGATGCTGAGATTCAGTGAATTTCATTGGTGATGAATTATCATCAATATTTGCAGTTTGAGCCAGCGTGAATGAACTGGGAGTGCGGCGTCTCGGGAGAGTCGACCAGCAGCTCCTGTGCCCAGCTTCACGTCGTGGAGTCTCAAACGTTCGAGAATGCTTACGCTCCACTCGAATGGACTTGCCCTCAATTTCTGTGCTGTTCTGAAGTCAAAAGATTAGCATCGGCAGGTAGTACTGGTTCATGATGTGATGTAAGTCACCATAGTTGTGATCAGGTCATCTGCCCCGTCTGGCCTTGCAAACTCGACAAATGCAAAGCAATTCGTTTGCCCTAGGATATGTGTTAGGCTAATTAACACTATTGAGAGGATATTCAGCGGCGACACATACCGGGTTTGCCTGGAATCTCCCTCTTGTATATCTGAATGCCCAGAACCTCTCCACTGGAGCTTGCGAGAGCGCGAAGAGCGTCCTCAGTCATGTCGGAAGGGAGGTTCCCGACATATGCGGAACGACGATCCTTGTCGTATCTTTGCATGAGTGCATCGCCGCCGTCCCACTTGGACGCAGAAGGCACAATCTCATTGTGCCGTTTTGGATTGTTTGCTATGACTAGATAGGTTTGGTTCTGAGCAAAGTACTGCCACAGGTGTTAGAAAAGGAATGAAATATGCAGACAGAGATAAAAAGGTCACTTACTCTGACTGGTTCACGCCTAGAATCATACATTTTGTATGTGACGAGGACAGGTGGTGGAACACCAAGAGATCGTTGGATTCCCTCGTCTGCAAACTCAGCCTTTGCGACTTCGCCAAGCTGGCTGAGAAGCGTTGTAGCCTCAGCAATTGTGGTTGGCATGCCACTTTTCTTTGAGACAAGGAAAGAGGCTAATGAAGTCAGCCAATGATTCTGGAAGATGGGAAAAATCACGTACACTGGGCCCGAGCCATCTCAGTGCGACAAGCCCGGCCAAGAATTTTCATTCCTTTGCCAAACTTTTCTGCCTTCTGAGCATCGTGATCATTCTGGAACTCTCCTGTTTTAGCAGCTTCCTCGACCTCTGGGCGACTGTGATAAGTTTTGCCTTACAGTGAATTGACAAAACGCGAAAGGCATGTGAAAATTATCTCTCTTGATTTTCACCCAGACCTCTCCAAATTGGCTAAAGGCCTTGGTAACTTCGAACTCGAGAACCTTATCCTCGTAAGGTTGGGATAGACTAGCAAATTACTGTTAGGCATAATAAAAATGAAGAACCTGGCGCAGAACTTACTTTGCAACGAACATGCAGGCAGTGCCTGGGTAGATGACCTGAGCATCGACCTTTACCGGGGGCGCTTCGAACACTTGGAGTTGTGTTTCGTTGTTAGCCATGGATTCCTTGGCTGGAGTTTCAGACGATACTTCGGTGAAAATATCATCTTCAACACTCGAGCCAACAAGAAAAGCCGATGAACTGTGCGATATCATTAACAATTGTCAAACGAAAGGACGTCGAAGACTGGTGGTACTGACTTCGTAGATTTTGGCGTCCCGTCATCAGAGGCCGTTTTGCGTCGGTGATTCCTACATTATATTAGTAGTCATGGCAGACTCGAGGGAAAAGAAAGACGGCATATTACTGTATGGTTGGTGTAGGCGAAGCTCTAGCACTGGCGTACCGTGGTCCGAGAGCTAGATGGATGTTAGCTGTTGAATACGTAGCAAATCTGCAATGACTGTAACAAATTAGGGTGCTGACTGTGCCAGGCCTAACAGAATATGTGGCCATGGCCAGTTGCTAGAGATAGAAAAGCTCTCCAACTTCCGTAGAAAGCCAAGTATACACTTGAAGAAAACATGGTGTATGTAAAGAATTAAAGTACGACGGTCAGGTATTCAGGACGATACTGCCTAAGTAGCGAAATGATCCTACAGACTATCTGCCAGAGAGGCAATGGAGCTTGGATGTGAAGGGTAAAAAAGATTGGGTAAGAAGGGAAGGTAAAGGGCAAGGAAGTCATAGATGAGAAGCAAAAAAAAAAGGTAATCACAGAGTACTCACACACTCCGCCGCCACGCAACGGACTTGGGGATGTAAGATGGTCATCCGACGAAGATTTCCTAACGGTTCTGAAACCACGATCGAGGTTTCCCATTTTGGCCATGGATCCGTGGTGAGCCATGATGACCTGCGCGTACTGTTTTCCCTCGTGCTGATGCTGCTGTTAGCCAACTCGGTGGTGGGGAGGAAATGACTTACCAGAGCGAAGAATAAGAATACAAATTTCGAAGGGAAATGTTTGACAAAGAAGTAGAAAGATGATATAATAAAGGCTTTGTGAAGAGAATCTCTCTTCCCAAGTCCTGAAAATCGAAGTTCTGAAATCGAGGTGGTGGCCCACTAGAACGTGATACTCACTTGTGGCAGAGAACACCAGAGCCGAAGAAGAAGAAGTCAAATAAGACACTGAGAGCACAGCATGTGCTGGTGATAGCCGATATAAGTATCGCCCTTACTGATGAGAGCTGTATCTCGGATCGCAGCAGATGTGACGAGGTATTGCTTGTCCTGTAAAAAAAAGCGTTGCAGCATGAGGAGAGGAAGAGATGAAAGGAGGAGAAACGGGCTGGGAATAAAAAGAAGGAAGGAGCGACGATAAGAAGCTAAGCACCTGCCAAGCCTTACATTTATTTGGTGAGCACTCTTGACAGTTGGACCAAACCAGACTGACACTCTTGTGGCCCTGACTGTCAGCATACTACCGTCGACGTGTGTAAGTGGCCTGATTTTTGCGGTCATGAGGCCATTTTTTGTTTCCTGTCTTGATAAATATGTAATATCCCTTGTATTGTGAGTTTTCTCGCGAGACATGTCTACACGATGTGGTTGGTGTTGCCTTACGTTGTGTTCCTGCCGTCACCTGGCTTCATCTGCTGGCATCTGTTCTTCGAAATTGAGTGCATCCCGTCGACTTGAAGTATAGTTCCGTGAGCTGAAATACAAGGAAGACGATAAGTTGCACCGCCAAAGACTTTAATGAGGTTCAGAAGCGATCGCCCAGATTTCGTTCTGATGTAGCCTGAGGACGACCATTTCCTGCACAAGAGGATACTGAGTGAGTAACAGTGTACATTTCAAAAGCCGCAGACGATAGCATGATGCCTTTTAAATTTCATTCGTAACTCATTATTGGGCTATCTCCATTTGCCTGTGCTGGAGGCGCTCGGTGTTTTCCTGGCCACTTCAGTTCGACACACCAAGCCGCCGCCGCTGCCCCAGGTCGGTTCTTCATTCAAACACTAGCAAAATAAGGAAGAATTACTTTGGTTTTCGATAATGCAGGAAAATTTCTTCAGATGACAATAAAGTCATCGTGCCCCTGATAACTGTCATCGTCGCCCTTTCGATCAACCTTGGTCCGACACGAATATTGTCTATGTTGTGTGACAATGTCAATAGGTAAGTCTGCCACGACGCTCACAAGCACTGAAACCTTGACTAAAATTAGTCGAAATCGACGTTGATTACTCTACTCTACTCTTAATAGGCGCTATGAGGCCCTTTATTCCTTCCCTCCCGCCGAACGAGAGAACAAACCGATGCAAACATTGCCATGGGCGACGAACTTTGGCCGAATGTCATCTCTGTATGCCACGGCAGAGGCACAAAGACGAGACCGAATCTCGTGGACCTCGAATATTTTGTCTCATTGGCTATTATTAAGCACTGAGGCCTTAGAACCTGGCCGAGAGTCTGCTTAGCTCCGGCATTGTCAGTGATTTAAGGGACAAGATATAACAATCTTTGGTATGCGCTTGGATGCGCGGCTTAGTCGATAATTGCTGCTTGCCCAAGCTACGGCCATACTGGTCACGACACTTTCTGCGACAAACAATTCAGGCATCTATTCCATACGTATATTTCCATCCCAGAACGAATTTCATGCGCCGTCCTATGCTTTGTACGCAAATATGATCTCTAAATGGCCTCGTCACGGGGTATCTTACATCATAGCCTAAAATGGTCCAAAAATTGAGTCACTCTGTGCTGGAAAGCGTCCGGTTCCTCTGCAGTCGGATTATGCCCGGATTTCTCAAAGACAGCCAACTGGGAGTTTGGCATCAAATTGTGCATTTCCTCGCTAAACTGCACGGGCGCAACGAGATCATGTCGTCCGACCACGATCAAGGTCGGTGCAGAAATGTCACCTAGCCTCGGACGTACATCAAACCGCGGCATATTGTAGCTCATGGCGAAGTTGTGCGTCTCATAATGCAATCTCAACTGGCCTGAGTCGGACGCTATCGGCGCAGGCTCGCTGCCCGTCTTCTCTGATGCGAAAATGGGAAGGATTTCGTTGAAACTAGCCTGGAGGTCATCGTTGTTTCTCAAACAGCCTGCCCAGGTTCTGTATTGACGGTCTGCATCGACTTTCATTCGGGGGGATGTGAGACATGATTTGAGACAGTACATGGTGCTTTTGAGGCCGAAAGTCGACGTGTCTCGAAGAATAAGAGCTGATACATGGGAGGGGTACTTGATGGCATACTCCAGGGCAACATATCCGCCATATGAACCTCCAGCGAGGATGATGGGTTCTGAGCCTGCCCAGATTCTGGTCATAGTTAGAAAATGACCTTTGAGAGACGGACGGCGTTTGACTCATTGGCGATGATTATTACTCCTGGCGAGAAACAGGAGGGGAAGGTACGCACCTCAGTTCGTCTATGTCTGCAGCCCAACGGTCGTGGGTGTAAGGGCCCTTGGGATCGCTGCGTCCACTGCCTCGCGCATCGTATACCAGAACTCGAAACCGCGATGACAGAAATTGAAATGAGGCCTCTGTTTCTCGATGGTCAGACACACCAGGTCCGCCGTGTAGAGCAACTACCAGCTGTTTGGACCTGTCATTGTCGCCCAGTATTTTGACGTATAAGCGAGCTCCGTCACTGAGGTGGACGAGGGAGCCTTCGGTGCCCATCGTCACGATGGCGATTAAGTCGCACACCGGGGGGGTTCCTGGGCTGCGGTGCAACCGAAATCAAGCACGAACACGGCACAATCGGAGGCGGTCGATATTTCGTGGCAAGATAAAACGAGAACAAATGGAGAAGAAAAAAAGCCAAAAAACAGGAAGCAGCAGAACAAATTGTTATGTGAATGGGGGGCGGGGACTTTGGCTGTGTGTTTGACCGTCAACTCGCTCCAGCTGCCTCGCGCTCCCTCTCCGTCGCCCCTCTTCATCCTCTCCAGCTCGTCAATGGTCTTTGATCCCACAGCCTCTTGTCAAGGGCCACTTAAGTCCAATGGAGACGTTTGGACTGGACCCTGCAGTTCTGTCGGGCGGCGGCTCGTGCCCCCATTCGTACGGGTCGACAGTCGACTGTCAACGGTCGTCAGTTGACAGGAATTGGGTTCGAGGCTGCCTTTTTCCAACACCGCCACTTTCCTCATCACGCCTCGACTCGGTCATATGCCGAACTGGCCGATCCCGGTTAGAAAATCCCGCACAGCAATGGTGTAATTTGATGGCCAAAACTGATTTACTGATCTTCTCTAATTGCTCTTACATGCAGCATTTTACTCGCAACGATTTAAACTATGGCGTGCCAAGGCGTCGCGTGGGTCGACTACTACGTCAACCGACGGGACGACAGATCGATTGGTGGCACCATCTTCAATATCGACAAATGCCCGCCAACACATCTCACATGTTCCACATGTATCCTCGCACTCTCAGCATACAGATCTATGTAGGGTGTAGGGCTGAACTCTTCTGCCCTTCGCATCCTCTTTCGATAATGGGTCGTGGGGCTCCTCACAAGCGGCCGTCACAAAATGGGAATGGCCACGCCGCGTATTTTTTGTGTATTTCGGCCCTATGTAATGTGCGACAGGGGGGAATACGAGATCCATCGACCTTCCCTCTCGGCTGCTGGGAAATTACATCAAACATTGCGCGCTTAGGTGGACTACGAGCCGAGGAGCCATCCTCGCCCTCTCAACATCCAAGGATAGAAGTAACAGGTTCCGCTGCCCGACAGTCCTTACAGCCCCTTTACCACTGATGCTATGGAATCATCATCATTCTGAAAGCGTAGTGCTGACCCTGGGCCGCTCTTGGTATGAGATGTGCCGCTGCCGTCACCTGGTGATGGACGACCAACGGGATCGTGAAAATCTAAAATTGTCTACATCAGCGCAAGCTCCTGGGGCATAGAATGCAGCCTACACCATCTCACCTTCGATCTCAGCACCGTTCTTGGCGTGAGTATGCCAATTGAATCAGCACATCAACCTTGCCAAGAGTTGCCAGCTACCCTTTGTGGTTCCTCCTGAGCTCACGCATCAACGGCTGCATCGAGCTGAACAACGACGTAGCCTGTTCAACTTTTCGAAGAAGTCTGTCGCGTGTAGTATTCACGATGCCAGCAAGAGCCTCGTGCACATCGTTCAATTTCTCGTGTGTCCGGCGACGCGAACTTTCCACCTCCTCCTGGACCTCATCAAGCCGACCTTGCAAGTGGTCCCTCGTGTCAACAATGAGTTTATTGATATGGCCGTTTGCGTTGTCGATCTTTCTACAAACAGTCAAATTGATATCCTCGGATACCTTGTCGAGCTTTGTTACAAAGGCATCGTGGTCCACATCGAGGCCATGTCCGGTTTCAAGAAGCCCATGTTTAGTCCGACTGTTGACGTCGACAACAGCCCTTGACAAATCCTCAAGCCTGCCAGACGTGGCCTTGTGCGAGTCTTGTACAGCCTTGAATATTCCACTGCGATGATCGTCGAGAGTGGTGCATACACGGTCGTGGGCCTGGTCAATGTCCAACCCCAGAGCCTGTATGTCGACTCTCGTAGTCATGATGTCGAGCGCTAGGGAGTCAAGCCGCGCACTGACGTCTCTCATCAAGATCCCATCGATATCTAGGAGACTCTTGTCAAATCCCGAAGTTGAAGTGCATATTTTCTCAAGGCCTTCACTGATCTCGGCGCGCAGAGCACTAATGTCTCGCCGTATAGCTGTAATTGCAGCAGCTACTTCTGTCATTTCCTGGCTTCCCTGCAACCGTTGGTCAGCACCAAGAACATGCTTCCACACGTGATAGACCTAACCCGTCAAGAAATTGGGTGTGGGAAATAGTGATCATGGCTTCTCCAACTTACAACAGTGACCATTGGTGAAGCCATATCCCTCGACTTGGTGAAAACACGCGTGTGACAAGTGACACGGTGGTGGACCGGATTCAGCCGAAAGGTAACATGCAGGGTGAAGGACTCGTTCAAGAGAATGAATCTGTACAAGATCACTCCGCGACTGAACAATGCCGGATAACGAGTCGCTGGCATGACAACCCCACAAGGCCTCGGGAAGAATAAGGTGTCGGATAGACAAACTTTCGTGCGTGTCACAGTTGTGCTGCGGTCCGTCTGTGGTGTAACATATTTCTTTTCTTCCCATACTCAAAATGGACTGCGCTGGACGACAATGACTTCTTTATGGCTTATATCTTGATTTCAATGGCTCTGAACCTTGCTTCTAGCTACTAACATCGAGGCAAGCCCACGCGTCGATGTCCGGACATGATCCCGCTCAGTTGTGGGACTTTGTGCTCTCGGAGAAGCCGAGCGGCAGATGTGCAAATGTCGAGACGGTTCCCCTGTATCGATGATGACGGTCGAAGTTGCTTGTCACGAGTTCCACTCAGGTCAGGAGGTTCTCAGCCTCAGCCGGGCAAATGCGTCAGTGGCGGCCTGTTTGCTGCCATGCGGTAGAAGATTAATTTCTCCACAGGGCGAAAAGCCTCAGAGAGGTCAGGAAAGGCGATTCATGATTTCTGAAGGAGAGGGAATACGTCAAATTCACAGGTCCAGTTCGCTTCAGCAGGTGTCTGAGACGATTCTCCAAAGGGGTATGAGACTACATACAAGGATTTCACGCTCTTCCTGGCAAAGTTGCATCTATACATCGGCGGATCTAATATTGAGGCTCTTTCAATGGAGACAATCAAGACGGACCTGGCATTGCTCTACAAATCTAGACACCGACGACATGGTACTAAAACGTAAGATGCGCTTGCACCGAGTATGAGACAGCCGTCACGAGTTCAAACCATACTCTCACAGCTTCGCAGCCACTACTATCGCGGACAAGACTTATGCTTGGTTCTGGATTAGCATTGCAGGAAAACAAGACGGATACAGTGTATAAAATGTGCGGATGCTACGGTAGTAGAAGCTCCATTGTCCTCTTGAAAAGCCGGGAAAACTCCAGCCACCGACGACACCGTGAAGATCATCACCAATAGCTTGACACCTTGCGGTGGCTGACATGGCAAATATTCGACAGTATTACATGTCATGTATCAAGAAGCCACGCATAGCGGCCATAGCTACCTCAGCAAGCACCAATCATCTATGGCTCTAACCATGGGTCCAGAAGGATTGAGAGCACCAGGACATGGAGACGAGTTCTAACTTGGAGAAACGCAGCGGGATGCTGAAGACTTGAGAGACACGGGGATGTCGAACAAGGTGTATGCCTATGCAATGACGGACTCCAATAGCGCAGAATGAGACGCGGCTTGCATACAAGGCGCTGGCATCTAATGACTCGGATTCCTTGCTCTGGATTCTGCTGGACCAGTGATCTAGGGAGCAAACATGGCTTCTGTTCCATCTTAGTAACGTAAGAGGCAATCCCAGCGCGCCACATTCATGTCTAGATTGATTGCTTCGCCGGCAAAGCTGATTGGCATTCTCATCCAGCGTGCGTTGAAGGCACGAGGGCTCGTATCTTGATATCATGGGAATAGAAGGGTGATTTGATTGCCAATAGCGGCAGGGCATGCGATTCGCACAGGGGCAAACCGCGTTGTCGTAGATAACGGCTTGCAGGAATGGCGCAGTCCAGAAATCGGGACTCAAATGCCGTGCCAATCTGACGCATGGTGGTTCTGATATGTTTGCTGCAACGAGATCCGAGACAATAATGAAGGCAGTGCTCGTGCTGAATATGAAGGCCATATTTGACGTATCCTCTTGCAGGAGGACACAACGGAGTACCACGCCGCCCCTCTGATAAGATGACGTTGGATTTCCCGAGAGCTTGGATCAGCCCGTCGTCCAGGCCATGGATGATCCACAGGGCTTCATTTCTCCACAGTCATCCAGTCAATTGATCAACTCTTTGGGATTGCCATCAGCTCTCATCTCGTCGGCGTTGCCAAGCTCGACTCCCCTTACCCACCACCCTCCGACCAGATGACAGATGACACTTGGAGTACGGAGTGGGATCAAGGTCAAGGATGCATGTGTTAAACCAGAGAGGCGGCAGCAGTACCCCAAGACCCTGGCCTGCATCCGTTCTGTCATATCTCATATCTCATCTCCAAGACCCCTATCGACCTACCAACCTATCGAGGTAGCTCCGCCGCTCTCCGCGTCGGCCTCTGCTTCTGCTTCTGCCACATCGCCGTTGGAGCACGACTCCAACCATCGATCCCATCCCGCCGCCACAGGACATAGCACAACACTGGCCTGTCCCCTCCCGTCGTGACACTCGCCTGCTCGCCAGCTTCTTGTTTGCAGTCAAGCTACACCTCCATTCTCCGCTCTCCGCCGTGCCTCCATCCCGCACCGTCGAGCCGCCTCCACCGCCAACAATCGAGCAGCAAGGTCCAGCTTCAGCACAGCGCCAACCACAATCCAGTGACTGCCGACCGATTCGACCAAAACTCGACTGCTTTCTCCCCATGGCCTGAGAGTGCAATGGCGATGGCCCGTCCTCACCACAGGGCGTTGTCCACCGCATCCTCATCGCCCACCGATCACCCGCCGCCCAACACCACATCTTCAACATCTACACACGTCCCCATAGCTACGGCCGGAGCTTCACATGGCAACTCCTCCAACCCCAACCACAAACGAGGCCATAGCCACACCCACAACCTCAACCACCGCTCCAACCCGTCCTCCTCGTCTTCGTCCCCTGCGCCCGTCCACCCGTCTCTCCTCCAACCTCGAGTCGCCGTCGTCCTCAACGTCCCTCCTCCCTGGCACCCGTGGCTCTTTGCTCTCCGCCTCTGCTCTATTCTCCCCGCGCTTTGGTGGGGTCTACCATGCGCCCTGCAGCTTCTTCTACGACTTCTCCCTGGCCCCGATCGAATTCTTGTCGTGCGCCCGAATCGAGCCTGCACAACCGCGCCCTGCAACGGCGGTGACGATGCCGTTCCCTTCGCCCTGACAGAAGGCGCCCTGGCGACAATATGGGTTCGTTACCCGGGGCCCCCCTCGAGCCGGCATTATTCTCAGTTCGCTAATACCAGTCCTCTTTTACATGTAGTGCTTTGCCTGCGGATATCTCTCCTTCTTCTTTACCGACTGCCTCATGTCACGATGGTCAGTCACATGCCAACGCGCGACAAATTGACAAGTCAGACTCTGCAGTCCAACTAACTCTCCAACAGGCTCATCCACTACACTCCCCAAGCGACCATCGTCCGTCTGCTCACAATCAACGCCGTCAATGCGTATCTGACCATGACCGTGCTCTCGTGTGCCGGTGGCTTTGAAGACCCCCGGCTCATGCTCCCGGGCTGGATCGGCATAGCAACCGTATGTCACTTGGGAATATATACCAACGCGCCTAGGATGGATTGTTACTGACTCGCCTTGTTTGACGATAGACGCTGACAGTGTGCTACCACATCACGCACCAAAAGATCAATATACGAAAGGAGACGTCAACGTCCATCAATGTCTTCTCGATAGCAAGTTACATTAGCATGGTAACTCTGCTGGTACATATGCATTCCTTTCAACTCGATTATCCTGCCATGCCGTTCATTGGACATGCCAAAAGGTTATGGAATGATGGATATGGTATGCTGGTGCAAATCAAGGGGTCTATTGAACGAGCAGAGCTCTGAGTTGACCCCGGAGAGGGCACAGAAGGGGTGAGGGAAGCAAAGAAGCAAGAGGGTGGATGAATTCGTGTCTGAGAAATCTATTGTTCCATGGCATGTGCTTGGCGGGCGTTCAATCTCAAAAAATACCCCATTGTCTACTTAGTAGTGTCTACGGCTCCATTTCTTCTTCTGTTTGGCCAGCGTCGGAGCGTCGAATGATTAATCGGTTGCACGGCAGTATCATAGTCGCATCACAGCATTTTGGAGCACGCATCACATGAATTAGCACCAACCCTTTTCATACCATCATTTCCTCTCGCGCTCTAACATGAAGTCACTTTACTTTTGCTCGGTAGTTTTTTTTTTTTTTTTTGCAATTTAAAACTCTCATTTCACTACTCTGCCCAAGACTACGGCCCGGCTTGCCTGATAAACAAATTAGCGAGTGACTGACAAGCCACGCATCAACTTGGCCCGTAGCCGAACTAATATCCCTGGGTTGAGCAAGGCAGCTCGCTGTGCTTTCCATTTCGCTGCGGCCAATACTCGCTCTTGCCGAGGGTCCTCACCCAACAACCAAAAAGAAGCAAAAAAAAAAAAATCTCACGCATCAGTGGATGATGGTGGCCGTCGTCCTCGAGTTCGATTGGAGCCGAGTTCAGCCCCTGGCTATCGATACATCTGGAAAGAGGCGCAATACGCGGGGGATCGTTCTCGTCCCAAACCGTCCTCTACGTCAGCGGATGCCTCGTGATGAGCAAGCAGCTGACAGGGCAACGGCGCATTGCTAGCTTAGAAACCGTGGACTTTGATGGTCTTGGCGTCTAGCTCAAGGCCCTCCTTCTTGTCGACGAGGAATTCCTGAACATCTTTGCGCTGGTCACCCTGGAGCTGGATCACCTCGCCCATTTCCGTATCGTTGACGATAGTGCCATTGCAGGCTGGAGAGTGCTGTTAGTAACCATGTCTGTGCCCGGTGTCGCTAATAATGGGTGCGTTTAAAAGTAGCCTTCAACGTACCAAATTTCTTCTTGATGACCTTGAGAATCTTCTTCTGGTCAAACTTCTTCGGGAGACCCTGCACAGTGGTCAAAGTCTTACGTCCATTACGCTCTATATATTTGTCAGTAACTGTGCGTTCAGGGTGCATGTGCTGCTCCTCCTCTCCGTCACGCCATATGGAGGAAGATTATGACATAGATTGGCGCTCCGCGTGAAAACGTGGGTATAACATCAAGTCGGGTGAGGCAAGCGTGGAAGACGTACGCTGAATACGTATATGTATGTAATTCTGTGACTGCTTGGTCTCGCCTGTATCTTCGTCGGCTTCGGCGAAGGGGTCTAAAAATTGCGTGAAATTAGCATCATTACTCAAAGTTGCGAGTCAGAGCGCCGTGGCAGGAGAAATGGCGGGGCCTACAGCTGGCAGAGGAGCAAGACGCGATGAAAAAGCGGGTTTGTGGGCGACAGGGGAAAACATGGGCGAAGGACGAGAAAAAAAAACAAGAAGACGGTGATGACGAGAGTAAGGGGCGGTCATGACAAGGCCAGAGTGTAACTTACCAAAGGTCTTAAGATTTTCGATGGACATAAACTCGGACGTTGAGGGGTGACTGTGGGAAATGGGTTTGTTGACGAAGTCGGGGTGTTTCAGCGAAAGGCTGCAGATAGAGGTGCCTCGCTGTGTGAAGTTTGTTTGAACGGGTTGTAGGTTCCTGAAGGCGAAGTTGAAGCAGCAGGCGATGGGAGGAGAATAAAATCCGAGAAGGAGAATTGTGCTTCTGGCGAGGGAAAAGGTTTAAATGTGCGTGGCGAGAGGCAAAGGGCTGACAAGAGCGTTTGCGACAAGAGGCCGGATTAGTGGTGATGGGAAGAGGGGCGGGAAATGGGAGAAGACTTGTCTGGAGCCTTTTGATGCAGGCCGAGAAGACGAGGGGCACGGGGCTTGGGCTGCGGGCTGCGGAATGTGTGGGCAAGAGGTGGTGGGCGGGCGGTGGTAGGTTATGGGCAGACGGCGGCAGGTGGCATACTACAGAGACGGGAGCAGCTTGCAACTGGCGCACAACGGGCGGCGAGTAGCGGCCAAGTGCCCCACCGAGGGTCGGGTGGGCGAATGAGGCGCAATTGCTGCCTTAGATTTGAGGTGTGCGCAGCCACAGAAGGTCGCAGAAGGGCCTGGCAATCCGGCTATCAGACGACTTATGACTGATAGCCTTCGTGCTCTTGAGAGCTGCAGCGTGTGTCTCGGTGTGCCAGCCTTTAAGTCTCAGCTTGAGGGCAGTGTTCAAGTGACGTGGATGCCAACATTGAAGCGTCTGGTCATGTCAAGCGCGCTCAAGCGTGATGAGCCAATCGCGACAGGGTTCATTAGGCCCATTAGGCCCAGTGACCTGTAAATGCCTGGATTCTTTCAGATTGATGACAACCCACCAGCTCCTGCAAATTGCAAATTGCAGGAGCGAGACAGGCATCTGGCTGGCAGCGAAATAGATGGGACTGAAAGTAAGACGGTGCGTCTTTGTCATTTTTTTTTTCTAGACGCCCGCAGGCGAGTTGCGAGGCTCAATCATTGCTTGGCGGTCTGGCTGCTGCAGGTCATCGACATCAGGCTGTGTTTAGGTGCGGCGTCACCGCGCCACCTGTGCCGCCGAGCCAAGGGAATGCCGGCGGGAACCTATGAAAATTTCTTCAAGCACTGGCTGCCTATAGGTAGAAAAGTGAATATGAAGTGTCATCGCCGCAGCCTCTGGCTGTTCGCCCCAACAGATCTGGTGTAATTGCTCTTTTCTCCTAGCCTTGCAGCATAATAAATTCGTAGACTGGAGCGCAAATGTGTCTCACTCACGTGAGCAAGCGCTAGCTTCCACGTCGCGCTCTAGTGCCGCCACAAGAACTCTGGAGGCAGACATGGGTCGACGGTAGGTACCTTCCGTCTGGGCACTCGCATATCGCAGCACCTCGGGTACCTGGGTGTACTAGTAGTACTAGATAGCGGTTGGTATACTCCGTACTGCGTCATAGATTGACTCTCCTTTTGGTCCAATACTGTCTCCTTGTTCCCAGCTGGTGTTAAACGACCTTGGGAGCGGCGTTCCGAACATTGAATGGCAGGAGCAACCCGAGCGGCGAGGGCGACACCGGCTGGGAGGCAGCGGGGGGAGCTGTCATTCCGCCATCTGAGCCTATCAGCTCAATCTTTGATTTCGCGCTATGAAGCCATCAAGACACAAGTCTGCAGTCACCAGGCTTTCAGCCTGCTTCGAGGCCTCTCGGGTTTCTCAGGTTTGTCATGTCCTGGCTGGGTTTCTGGTGTCTGCTGCCCCTCCACTGCCCCTCCATTGCATTCTTTCAGCCCCGCTGGCTACTCGCTGTTCCACCGCCGGCGCAACGGTCATTTGGCTTTTCGGATTTTTCAACCAGTTGTGTTGGCATCTCTAACATGCCTCACGCTTCTCGCCTATGACCGCCTTGGTCAATAAATCGGGCATGCTTGCCGCCGAACTGGGCGGGTGATAGTACGCATTGTGTATTGGACCAAAGAATTGCGAGCGTTCGAGCGTTGGGCGAATGGTATCACCGTGTCGCGTCATCTGTTTGGGACACCTGGCACCAAATTGTTTCAATCACCACCGTCTTCCCGCGACACCTTACAAAAGCAAACGAATTTGATATGCAAGATTGTTCCTAGACTTGGCTGTCGACGGCCGGCCAGCTCATTATGCCATTTGAACCTGAGGGGGTGCCCTCAACAGCGTTGCCCTATTTCGAAGACTCGACCACCGAGACCGACGTATGGGTGCCGTACTATAGCCATGGCTGTACTTTTGGGCCAGAGCTGTTTTCTAGCATCATGATGAATATGGTTCACAACCCAAACCTCAATTCTACTTGGCTATTTCGCGCAGATATCTTGTACGACGACGGAAACATGGACGAGGTCACTACGACAAACATCTCCAACGGTGTGCCTGACACGATCGAACCCGTCATTCGAAGCATCCCACGTATACCCCTGAAGCGCACTTTAGTACGACGATTGATCCCCAGGAGCGAAAGAAGGGACAAGCCCCTCAATCAAACTTGCACTTTCCATGTCATGAATGATTCAGAAACACTCGTCACATCTTTGGTCTTATATATTCCTCATGTGGTGTCTATGGAGCATCTACCCTTCTATCACCCACAGGTCCGAGGAATTGCACACCTTCATCAGTGGAGCACTAGTTCGCGTTCAGGCACAATATCGGTTCATTTTCTAGGGGGTTCGCCAAGTGACCTTTTGGATCCCAAACTAGGTCGAATTGCCTTTCATCTTCTTGAGATTCTTCACAGACATGGCGAAGGAGCCGTGCAAGGTTACGTCAAAAGGGTCCATCACGATCGTGTTATACCCCAGGCAAGATTTCAAAATCGATATGCGCAACTAAAGAGCAAATATTCGCGCCGACTGGTCGACACCTGGGCTGAGAGCACCGACCCTGGCAAACACGTATTTGAAGATATTGGCATTGCTGCTTTCTTGATTGAGCTATGGGCAGACATGTACAAGGGCAAAGAATTCCCTGGTTTCGTTGATATAGGGTGTGGAAATGGTCTACTCGTGTATCTCCTTACACAAGAGGGTTATAAAGGTTGGGGTTTCGATGCGCGGGCGCGGAAATCATGGGCCAACTACACAACTCCAACAGCCATGTCACCATCTGGGAAATCTCTTGAGGAAAAGCTTCTATTGCCCAGCATAATACCCGCCCACAGAGACAGAGACAATCCCTCTCAACTATTACACTCTGCTCATATCCACGATGGAGTCTTCAAATCAGGTACATTCATCGTCTCAAATCACGCCGACGAACTGACACCTTGGACGCCTATCCTCGGCACAATCTCCAACTGTCCCTACATCATGATCCCCTGCTGCAGCCACAGTCTGACTGGGGAGAAATACCGCCCGCCCCCACCAAGGGACAAGTCGAAGCCAAAGTCAACATATGCCTCGCTGGTTGACTGGGTGTCCCAAATTG